ATGATTGGTGACCTCACAAGAAGAGGAGACAGAGAGGGGAGAAGACGGCCATGTGATGACAAAGGCAGAGATTGGGGCGATGCAGCCGGAAACCAAGGAATGCCAACGATGGCCTGCCACCACCGGAAGCTGGAGGAAGCAAGGAAGGACTCTTCCCTAGAGCCTTCAGAGAGCATGGCCCTGGCAACACCTTGATCTTGGACTTCTGGCCTCCAGAACTGGGAGACGACAAATTTCTGTTGTTTTAAGCCCCCCAGTTTGTGGTACTTGGGTATGGTAGCCCCAAGAAACAAATCACCATCAAATGCCACTTATTGTCTAACACACGCTCACTCATCCCCCCATCATTTCTCGAATTTGCGGACCTACAGGTTACATCCCACATCCACTGAAGCTCAGGCACCTGGAGCAGCAACCTCATTGCCATGCGTACCTCGGCCAGCATGCTGGGGACCTCAGGACCCACTCATCTACTGGTGCTGGGCCCCTGCTTGCCCAAAGTTCTTCATCCCATTCTCTGAGGCATCCAGATGCTCTCTCTCCCTCGCCCTCTCTGTGACATCTCCCAATTCCAGCACCCCACTCATAGACCACAGCTTCCAGACATCCGGGTCTTTCCACTCCACAACCATTTACTTCATCCAGGCCTCCGCTCTTCATTCCTGCACACTCTCCTAGTCCCTAGTCCCTGCCGACTAGATCCTAGTCCCTAGATCCACTGCCGACTCCAGCCAGATCGGAAGCCTGCACTCAAGGTCCTCCATGTTGACAAGGTTGGGAGACGCTCCCACACGTCCTGCTGGACATGCCAGGAAGACCAGGCTTTTTCCTGGACCCTTTCTCAGGCTTGGGTTTGCAGAGAGCAACCTTGAGGGGATAGGTAACACCTCCCTCTGGGACAAGGACCAAGCTTGCTCACAGGCCTGGGTTCCTGCCGTGTGTGCAGCATCCATGTAGGCACAGTGGCATCGCCCCTGTGGGAACTGGGGCTCAGGGAACCAGCACACCCTGCTGACGCTCTGTCCACTGCTTTTCCTGTGAATAATAAAGTCTTTCATTTCTGACCCAGCAGTCTCGTGTCTTCTGCCAGCATCCAAGGAACCATGGCAGGCCAGTCTGCTAGCTCAAAAGTGGGGTGAAATCCCTGACCCCTCACAGCTCTTGGCAAACATGCCCTCACAGGATCTTGGCCTCCCCTTTCTCTTTTGTCTTCAACCACAGCCACCCAGCAAACCCCCAGTCTAGATCAGTCCAGTTACTGGTTTCTCCCACTCCCACCAGCTGCCGTGTGGAAGGCTCCACTGCAAACCTCCCCAAGTCTCCAGGCTGCTCAGTGATCCCCCCGCCTGCCCCCAGTCAGCTCCCTTGCTCATCACTGCTATTCTAAGCCGTCCGTCTTGACCCAAACTCCCAGCTCCATCCCCATACCCCCATGAAGAAAACTGACGTCCTGAGAACTCCTCACTGCCCCTCCTGCCACATCCCCACCCTCACCTGTCCACACCAGCCTCGTCTCTCTCCATCTTGTCCCCAAGCAGAAGGTGTCCTCCTGCCCTGAGCTAACACTGACCCCTGGGCTCTAGGTTCTGGTTCGTCAGCCTCCGCCAGGATCTGGGCCCACTAATCAGGCCCTTGTCCTCCTGCACCTTCAACTGACTTTCCTCATTCACTCCCAGACACTCACTGAGCATCTTGAGGAGCGGGGCTGTGCAGGGGAATAAACACCAACTGACAGCCAATTCACACGGGTCCTCTGGCTACGTATGAGCTCATTTAAGCCTTGTGACAACGTGTGAGCTGGGTTTATTGTTCTCAATTTCCAGACAAGGAAAGGGAAGCAGGAAGGTTAACTAACCATTCAAGGTCAGCCATAGTAGCTATGCATGGATGAGCCAGAGCTCAGACCCAGAGAAGGCTGGGCCCTCAGGGGCTGGCTGTCTTGTGAAAATGACCCGGGGCCTCTTCCATCCCAACACTGCCGCCACCACCCGGAAACTCCTCCAGAGCGCCCGCCTATGTCACTGCTGTTTGCTTTCTACCCTCCCACCTTCAGCCTTGACCCCTGAACCTTGGTTCCCCCTCACCCTCTCCCCATCCCGCTGAGATGACCCTGATCAAGGTCACCAAGAAGTCTTGCTGTCAAAGGAAACGACGCCTTCTTCCTTGTCCTCATGTTTGAGCGTGTGTAAGTATATTGTACGGTGGTGAATAAGAAGTAAGTGGAGGGGGCATCAGTGAAGACGGGGCTCTCCTCCATCTGCCCCTCCCAGCGGCCACCAGCACAGGGAGTGGGGGGGTGCTGGGGCACAGGCTCTGGGCTTCAGAAGGTCCTAGCTCTTTGTGGATGTGTGACCTTCACAAAGTGACAACCTCTCTGGGACTGTTTTCTCCTCGGTAAAAGGGGGTAATATCGCCCCCTCCCTCATGCACGTCTGTTGGGAGCAAAGGCAATATTTGCAACGTACCTGGCACTAGCAGAGGCTCCCCAGACAGCATAAACAGTGGACACCGAAATGGTTCTAACACGGGCCAGGCAGGGTGCTCCACACATCATGGGTATTAACTCATTTAATCCTCCCAGCAGCCATTGGAAGTAGGAACTATTACTATCTCCACTTGCCAGAAAAGGAAACTGAGGCACAGAGAGCTTAAGTGTCCAAGTCCACATGGACAGAAATAGAGGAGCTGGATTCAAGCCCAGGCGGTCGGGCTCCTGAGTTCACATGCCCAGCTGCCATCATTGATGGGTGGCTGGTTCTGCTCCAACTCCCCTCCAGGACGAAGGGAGACTCAGGAGAGGGGTCAGTGGGCACCCCAAGCTCAAGCAGTTCAGGCTGCCCCTCGGGGGCCTGATTCAGGCCCACCCTGCAGAGACTGGGCGGAGCAGACTCAGCCTGGCTCTGGCTGCCAGAGGTGAGGGGCTCCCCAGTCCACAGATGCAGCAGTCCCCACCCCCCTCAGCAGCAGGACGGTCTAGAAGCACTTGGCCACCTGTGTTTGCACACTCACTTCGCACTCTTTAAGATCTTTGTTTTTCCAGGAAGCAAAGTACCAAAGCTATTTCAATATCTGTGGTATTTTAGAGCCTCCCACTTCTGTTGATGTTGACATCCAAGTGGAGTAGTGAGTGGCTGTCGAGGACCCGCGGTGGGCACAGCAGCAGCACTCTCCCCCGATGGGGGTCCTGGGGAACAGAAGACCGGGCCAATCTTGAATCGTTCACAAACCCTGAGAGCACCCAAGTCTGCACAAACCAGGAGAGATTTTGCTAATCGGCATATCTGTGCCAGCCGTGAGGCCCCCAGGCATGTCACCAGAACTCTCCAAACCTGTTTCCTCAACTGTAACATGTACACAATAGCGTTTTTACATCCCTGGCCTGTTGTGAAACCCAAAGAACTGTGGAAGTGTTTATAAATCCCAAAGCGCCAATCATACGCAAGGGACTAGTTCCATCGAACTTTCCCAACAAATAGGGTGCACACAGACACACACACACAAAAATGACGCAGCACACACAAAGTGAATTATACACAGGACACACACACAGCAGAATGACCCAGCACACACGGAGTGGATTATATACAGGACACACATATACACACCCGCACAGCAGAATGACTCGGCACATATGGAGTGGATTATATACAAGACACACACACACACACAGCAGGATGACCCAGCACATATGGAGTGGATTGCATACAGGACACACACACACAGCAGAATGACCCAGCATACACGGAGTGGATTATATACAGGACACACACACACAGAGCAGAACGGTCCAGCACACACAGATCGGGTTATTATGAGAGAGCAAAGAACAAAGTAGAGAGGGAGTCCGGGTGAACACAACGTCTCCTGGCGAGGGTGGTCTTAAACTGGGTGCTGGAGGATGGACACAGTAGGGGTGAGGCAAGAAGGATTTCTGGGTGAGGAGAGTAAGGGGGTGGCGTGAGTAGAGGCAGCGGAAGTCCGAAGTGACCAACTGGATGCGGATCACAGGTGCTCCCATTTGGAAGGGACTGTACACTGTCACGGATGCATAGCCCTTGGGTTCCTGTGACGACGGTGCAAGAAGGATGGCGATGAGGTCGGCCTGGGGCCTGTGGGGGCCAAGACCAGCAAGCTGCGGCCCCTGGCAGCGACGGCAGACGTCCAGGGTGGCGCCGGCTCCCGGAGATCACTCATGGGAAGAACAGACGCAATTCTAGTGCCCTGCAGACAAGAGCAGGGCCAGAGACCTGCCTAGAATGAATCCTGGCTCAGCCGTTGACGGAGTGACTTTGGGAAGTGACCTGGCCCCGTGCCTCCGTGTCCCGTTCCTTGACGTGGGGGTCAGGGGAGCGCCGCTTCCAGGGCGCAGTGAGGACTCCAGGCACGTCTGCGTTAGCACAGCGCTGGGCCCACGTCCCGGCTGCTCCATCCGTGAAAGAACCGGACCCAGAGGAAAGCGCTCGGCATCTCAGGCCCCTCCTGCAGTCCTGGAAGTCCCCGCCGCCTCTGCCTTCGAGAGCGACGGCTCCGCGCGAACCCCCGGCCCCTCTGGGCACCGAGCCGCGCGCAGGGGGGCGGTCACCGCGGGCCGGCGGCCGCGCGCAGGGGGGCGGGGTCCCCTCTCGGACGCCCGCTGCACCTCAGCAGACACTGCACAGCACAGGGACCTGGAGGCCGTGTTGGAGGTCGGGGGCCCAGGCCCGCCGCGCCCGGGAGGGGCGAGCACCCCGTTTGACGGGGCAGGCACGCTCGACTCCTGGCGCCCCGATTCCCGCCGACCCTCGCGTCTCCCCGCTACCCTCCTCGACCCGGTGCCCGCCCGTCGCGTAAACAGGAAACGGGCGTGCGCGCGGCGTGCGCTTCCTGCGCGGCGAGGGGCGGGAGCGATTGTGAACGGCGGCGGGCGGGGCCAATCGCGGAAGAAGGCTGGGGACCAGCCAATCGCGAGGGCGGGCGGGCGCGGGCGGGGCGGAGCCCGAGGCGGGGCTGACCAGGCGGAGCCAATCGCGGCTGCCCGGGGGGCGGGGCCGGCGACGGCGACAGCGGCCGCGTCGGGTCCAGGTCCCGGGTCGGGGTCTGCGGCGGGCGCGGCGATGCTGCAGCTGCGGGACTCGGTGGACTCGGCGGGCACGAGCCCCACGGCGCTGCTGGCGGCCGGCGAGGAGGTCGGGGCGGGCGGTGGCGCGGGCGGGGGGCGGCCGGGGGCGGGCACGCCGCTGCGACAGACGCTATGGCCGCTCAGCGTCCACGACCCCACGCGCCGCGCCCGCGTCAAGGAGTACTTCGTGTTCCGGGTGAGGCCGGGGGCGGGGAGGGGAAGGGGAGGAGAAAGGGAGTGGGACACACCGGGAGGGGGAGGGGGACAGAAGAGGAGGGACGCGGAGTGACCTCCGCCCTCGGCCGCGCAGCCCGGCACCATCGAGCAGGCAGTGGAGGAGATCCGCATGGTGGTCCGGCCCGTGGAGGACGGCGACATCCAGGGGGTGTGGCTGCTGACCGAGTAAGTGGGGTGCGCGTCCTGGTGGGGGGACCCCGGCCCTGACGCCCTGATCGCTCGCTGGCGCGGTGGTGACCCGTCTCGTTCCCGGACAGGGTTGATCACTGGAACAACGAGAAGGAGCGTCTGGTGCTCATCACGGACCAGGCGCTGCTCATCTGCAAATACGACTTCATCAGCCTGCAGTGCCAACAGGTGGTCCGGATAGCCCTCAGTGCCGTGGACACCATCTCCTACGGAGAGTTCCAGTTCCCCCCGAAGTCGCTCAACAAGTGCGTATTCAACAGAGAGCCCAGCCCGGAGCGTTGTAGTCCACCCTTCCACAGCCCGCCCCCGGTGTCGTCTTGTGTCTGCCTTTAGAGAGAAACGTGCAAGCCTCAGCTTCAAAATCAATAATTTCTTAGAATAGAAGCAAGTGATTTCTGGACAGCTGGGTGCATTAAACGGAATTCTGGCACAAGAGGGAGCTATTAGGCTTGTAGTCAAATGAATTCAAGATATCCTGAAGTAGACCTGACACGGATATTCCTCAGATACGAGCCAAACTCAGCAACTTGCCTTGCTCGTGTCAAGCCCTGCTCTGGTTAATTTTTAAGAGAAAGCAGTAATGCATCACTTTAATTGACAGATATCTCTGAAGGTTAACTTTGAAGATGTTTAATGCCCAACTTTCAAGAGCTGATCTTCATGCTTTAGGGATATTTTCTGAAATATGACAAACCTAGATATTATTATAGTCAATGGAGCAGTAAATTTTAGAGTTTTGATGTAGAGATTTGAATAGGGAATTCAGGAAGCTACGATGAGCTAAAAACTTTAACCAACAATAAAACATTCAGGAAAAATTATTTAAAGTTATAAAACTGTCACTCATTTAGTTATCCTGCCTGTAATATGTTCCTATTACCTATTTTACTAATTGTGTGAAGATTAAGTTTAGCTTAACCAAATCAGTATATTCAGTTTGTTGTGTTTAAAAGTACTTAAAGCAGTCGTTACTAGAGACCACTGTTATTATTGAAGCCTGCAAGCACTTTCTGTTGTGACATGTCGTAGGTCTTGGCTTTAGCCGTGGGACAGCTTGCTAATAACACACCCCACAAGTGCCCAGGCTGCCATGGGAGCACTGTGCCTGGTCTGTGGAGTCTGGTTCATTTCTTCTCACTTGGCAGGCGAGAAGGTTTTGGGATTCGCATTCAGTGGGACAGGCAGAGCCGCCCTTCCTTTATCAACAGATGGAACCCCTGGTCCACCAACGTGCCCTACGCCACGTTCACAGAGCACCCGATGGCCGGTGCCGATGAGAAGACGACCTCTCTGTGCCAAGTAAGACAGACCGCGACAGCAGTGCTGCCCCGTGGTGACAGAAACGGTGTAGGCCTGCACTGCCCAGTAGGGTGGCCACAGGTGTCTGTTGAGCGCTTGAACCATGGCTAATAAAACTGAGGAAATAAACTTTTAATTTTTAAAACTTTTGGTTACCTTAGGTTAAGATAGTCCCGTGTGGTTAGTGGCTACTGTTCAGCTTAGCTCTGTAACCTGGCCCCTCCCGGCTGTGATCATCTTGAGAAGGGCCCAGAAGGGAGGGGCTTCAGGGTGGGCAGCAGCTGACCCCCGCTCGTGCTAGAGCCAGGCAGTCCTCGTGCCCACCAGGAGAGGAGGCCTCGGGGCTGTGCCTGGTGGCAGCTTCCCCGCCTGCCAGCTGCATGCCGCAGCCTGCTCACTAGCCTGGTGGTGGGGGTCAGCATTAGGTCACTGTGGCAAACACTTAGGCCTGGGAGAGCCAGGCTCCACGCGTACTGGCTGTCGTCAGCCCCAGAGGAGCAGAGGTGAGATGTGATGTTTCTCGAGAGCTGCACTGAGGAGGGGAGCTGAGGGCCACCAGGGTGGGGCTGGAAGGGCGTCTCGTCCAGGGGGACGGGGGGCTGACACAGACGTGTGGGGTTTTATTTGTATGCATCACTCTGATCAAGCTCCATGTTTTCTCTCTCTTTAAAGTTGGAAAGCTTCAAAGCTCTGTTAATTCAAGCTGTGAAAAAAGCCCAGAAAGAGAGCCCCTTGCCAGGACAAGCCAACGGCGTGCTGGTCCTGGAGCGCCCCCTCCTCATCGAGACCTACGTGGGACTCATGTCTTTCATTAACAACGAGGCGAAGCTGGGCTACTCCATGACCAGAGGCAAAATAGGCTTCTAGCCGCTGCGCTCGGGGAGCTCCTCCCGGAGAAAGCCAGGTGGATGTGGGGACTCTCGGGGCTCAGACCTTGGGCCAGCTCTGCTGCCGCTGGCAGGGCTGGCCCATTTACCTTTAGGGATCTGAGCGCGATGAGAATAGTCAGATGAATTATATATTTCAGCTGGATGTTGGATATCTGGTGATATGAGCTACAGACAAAAGCAAAATGCGTCTAGCCGTCACTGTACTGGCTGGTATCCCATTTTCTAGAACTTCAGTTCGTGTGTTTTCCCTGGAGTGTCTCCATTTGGCTTCTTGTGGTCCTTCCCACCCCAGCCCTGTAGCATGTTAATAAACGTCATGTGATTCCACTAGAACACACCTGTTAGCACTTCAGCTGTGTAGATTCTTACATCCAGGGAGGACCTCATACCCCAGTGCCTGTAGTTGCAAATATGTTTACTCTTGGTGTCAAATTTTGTATTTTGAAATTTAATCCATTTTTTTAAAGCTAAATACAAAAACCAGCAGACTGGTGAACTAAGCAAGAGACAGTCTGCCTTGTCGGCTCCTGAATGAACAGCTGCTTTTGTGTAAATATATGTTTGACCTAAAGTCACACTTTTTCTTAAATTAATCTATATTCTATTAATACTTATGGCATCTTTCCCAGGCCCAGAAAGGTTTGCAGAAAATCCTTTTAAGACAATTCATTAATTTGAGAAAGTCACCTTGATAGTTCTTTGCACATAATTTTGACAACTATATGTATTCTAAGTTTGTGTTGCTATATTTGTATTTAAAAAGGGAATTGCTTAGTTTGCTTTTAGAGAATGCACTTTAAAAAAAGGAACCCTGTTAGATTCTCATGAAGCAGCTAACGCCCACCTTGGTTACCGCAGCTCCATGCAGACACCGGCTTTCTCAGAGCCTTGCCCTGAATGCACCTGGGCTTCCACGCGCCTGGAAGCATTTCCACGTGGGGACTCCGGCCCGTGCCGCTGCACCCATCCACGGCTTGCTGGTTTGCCTGGAAGCATTTGTTGACCAACCTTACGTGCTGGCTCCCTCCTCCTTTACAACCTGGTGCAGCTTTAATTGGCGTGGATGTGGTCTGAATGCAGCGGCCTGTCCGAATCGAAAGGTGGCCTCAAACCCTTGCCTTGAGTCTTTGCTTTTGTCTTGTAGTAAAGACCTTTAGAATCAAATGGGTGGTGTTCCGTTTTTGAAGTTGTAATTATTAAAATAGGTGCAATCGGGCCGGCCCCGTGGCTTAGCGGTTAAGCGCGCGCGCTCCGCTGCTGGCGGCCTGGGTTCGGATCCCGGGCGCGCACGGACCCACCGCTTCTCCGGCCATGCTGAGGCCGCGTCCCACATACAGCAACTAGGAGGATGTGCAACTATGACATACAACTATCTACTGGGGCTTTGGGGGTAAAAATAAAATAGGTGCAATCACCAAGAAAGTTCCCTCTTAAACTAGTGTATTTTAAAGCTTGAACTGTTTCTGTAATAGCCTTGTAAACCTGTCAGCTTGCTGCACACGTACAGTCATGAGGATTCTAAGTGATGGACCCAGTACAGTTCTCTTTACAAGACACACCAGACATGGTACGCAGACCATCCAGCTTTTAACCAGGATCACGAATCCCTGTTTCGAATCCTAATTCATCCAACAGTGCTTCCCAGCCCTGCCTGCCTGTCAGAAGCGCCTGAGTTGAGAGACGCCTGGAATTGTTCTGGGCGGACAGCCAGGGTGGAGACTCCCTGCAGAACCACCTCAGCAGGTCGGAGACCTGACCTTGACCCCACTGCCCCCTCTGTGGCACCACCTTCACGGTGCCCGGGGCTCCCCGACCACACTCCAGGACAGGCCCCACGTGAAACCCAGGTGTTCTCTCGAGACCCTCGGAGACTGGCATGGACACTCTGGAGCGAGAACAGGATGTCTGTCTGAGGGGGACTGGCTCGGTTATTTTCCCAAAGACAGTGAACGCAAAACTTAAAACTAACCTAGAAAGCCTTCCTGTTACCTAACCCTTTCAAGAAAACAAGATTAGCTATTTTATAAATTAGTATTTATTTTAAGAAAAATTACAATTTTATACCATATATATTTACAATTAAAAGCCTTGCTATAAAAAAATAAAAGTACATCATTTCATTTGGACCACCACAGCTGGAGAACTTCCCCCGAGCAGCTCCATTCCTCTCCCAGCTGACTCAGCGTCCATTTCACACAGGCCTGTTTATGCACAGGTCCTGCCTGTGGTCGCCCAGCTGTCTGGAGGCTGTACTGACCCCTCCTCGGTCTCCAGGAAACACAGGCAGAAGTGGTCCTTGCTGAGGAGGGCCAGTGAGTCCCCATTTAAATGCCAGCACAGAGAAAGCACCTGAAAGTCACCTGGAGAAAGACAGGTGGCCAGAGGGTCAAGAGTGGGAGAGGCCAGGGTCCCTGAGCCAGTGCTGCCCCAAATCCCGTGGGTGTGTGGGTGAGCCCAGAGTGACCCAGCTGGAGCCCCAAAGCCACCTGAGCTCGGGGGCCTCTTCCTGGCCTACAACGCTTAGAGCAGCGGGCTGTGCCAGGTGCCAGCAGGGGCACCAGGCCTGCCCTTGAGGTGTCCCTGAAGATGCTAAGAGCCACTTTCTCTTGATGCTCCAGACGGTAAACCAAACGAGCCCTGGTGTCCATCCCTGCTCAAGTGTGCTTGTCTGCTAGGCTTCCACTGAGAGGGCCGTGCTCACCTTCCCCGGGCACCTGCACCGACACGCAGCCCGCTGGCGACCACAGGTACACCTTGCTGCCTCCTGTGCAGATGGCCAGCCGGGGCCGCTGCGGGTCCCACTGGAAGGAGCGCACTGGGGACAGCTGCTCCAGCACCACAAAGAGCCTCAGCTTTTGTATGTCCCAGATCCAGACGGCGTTCGGGATGTTGTCTGAGGAAGGAAGACGCAGACAGGTCCAGGGGCTCGTCACCCCTGCTGCCTGTTTCAGCCCCCCACCCCCTTGGTATTTACCCCGAAGATGGACTAAGGAGGCAGACCGTGGGGCATGTGGGTGTGGCACCGGCCTCTGTGCCAGGACCCGGGGTGGACATTGGTGCTCCAGTGACTACCAGGGGGCAGACTGTAACTCCTTAAGACTCCCCCTCAGACTGTAACTTAAAGAACACACATGCAAGTTCTGGGTTTTCTTTTTTTCCCTGGTGAGGAAGACTGTCCCTGAGCTAACATGTGCGCCAATCTTCCTCTATTTTGTATGTGGGACGCCGCCACAGCATGGTTTGATGAGTGGTGTGTAGGTCCGCGCCTGGGATTGAACCTGCGAACCCCAGCTGCCAAAGCAGAGCGCGCGAACTTAACCACCATGCCACCGGGCCAGCCCCACATTGTTTCTTCATAACCCTTTAAAAATGTAAAGACCCTTCTTATGTGAGACAGGCCCACAGCTGTAGTTGGGCCTGGAGCCCTGTTCTTCACCACACAAAGAGGAAGAAGAGCAGAGGGGCGGAGGGCACGGAGGCGGAGTGGTGACCGGCTGCTGCTCTGACAAAGACGAAGCCCAACTCCTCTGCGAGGCCGCTGTGGGCAGGACGTCCGCCACCAGCAGGAAGACGGGAGGAAACAATGTGCGGGAGGCCCATTACCCGATTTTCCTTTCAACTCATTTCTTTGTCTGGGCACCCAAGGAAACCATGAATGGACACAACAGCACGGACCCTCGGCCACTGACCGTTCCTTGTCGCCAGGAAGTAGTTGTCTGGACTGAAGGCCAGCACTCCTATGCCAATTTTAGGGTTTGCTCTGTCAGCAACAGGTTTCAAAGTCTGTAAGGCAACTGGCACTGAGGCGATCTCATCTAGAAAACAAAAAGGGAGGAGACTCCGTCATGTCTCAGCGCAGGACCCGAGCATCTAAGACCCACTGTGGCCTGTGAGCCTGCTCATGACAGGGACGAGAGCCACTGACCTCGTCTGCTCAGTGCAGATGGCAGGAAAGGATGAGACTAAACACATTGGGGCAAAATTTTATCAAAGAAAGGGCTGAATGGGAACCTGGCTGTAGTGGTCAGAGGCCCAGCCACACGCCCCTCACCTGCCATGCCCCGGCCTGGAGGCATGCACCGCAGCCTTGGGAGCTCAGCGGCGGCGCTAGGCCAACCTGGGAAGGGGCGGGCACACTCCAGAACCGTCTCGACGGCTCGGCCACCATGGCGTTGTGTCCTCTTTCCACTTCTCGCACCTCTTTACAACCTGCTTCAGCCTCACTGTCAATGTGCTATTGTTAGACTTCTCAGATGCAGAAGCAGCCTTGTAGGGCAGAGGACTTCTAGGTAGTGAGAATACTCGGTGCGGTTTTATGTGATACGTGCATGTACAGGGTCATCAACTGTCACAAACGTCCCCTCTGTGGGAGTGTGGACAGTGGGGAGGCAGGGGGCATGTAGGAACTCTGTGCCTTCCCCTCAATTTTGTTGTAAACCTAAACCGCTCTAAAAAATTCTTCAAAGGAAAAAAAAACCTTGTAAAACCAGAAGCAGCAGCAGTGAGATGATAATGGTAAAGCCCATGTCAGCAGGCGCACCTGTGTCCGGCGGTGCCCCGTCCCTGCGTGTTACTGACCCTGCGACGGGCAGGCAATGTTTTAGGGCCTGGCGGCTGTTCCCGTGTTTCCTCTATCTTAAAGCTCATCTAATGCCCCAATTATGCCCATTTTACAGATGAGAAAACCGAGGCACGAGTAACCTACCCAGGGCCACACAGCCAGGATGCAGAACCAGCTCTGAGCTCGTGTGAGCCCTTTACCGCTGCCTGCCTCCTGACCCCTGCCAGCTCATCCAAGGAAATTTTATTATTCATTAAGAAATATGCCCCCCAGAGCACCAGCTGTCAGCTGGACTTCCAGAGCTTGTGTTCAATCCACAAAAACAGTGCCCACAGGGTCAGTGATTGCTGGGTTGAGAGAGACGCTGGCTGTGAGTATCACAGGGAAGGAAAAATGAATTAAAAAAACAAAACAAAACAAAGACCATCTGAAATCTACCTGGACAAAGAGGACTCTTTTCCATAAAAAAAAGTAAAGGAAACCCAGCAAACATCCGCCGCCCTCCTGCTCACATTTGCTCTCCATGGTGCCGAGGGGGCTGGCCGCCGCCCTGGGCGGGGGGAAGGCAAGGCGGCCCAGTGCCAGCTGTGGACTCTTCTCGGCTTCCTTATACACCACCTGGAAGACACGACAGGCCCCGCCACCACCGTTCAGGACGGGCTCCAGGTGCTCGGTGATGGTGAGGCCTGACCTCTATGCAAGGAGCCGCCATTCCTGGTGGGAGGACGCAGGGACACTGGCCCCCACTCGCTGCTCCCCGTAGGAGTCTCAGTGTG